TTTTTTTCTGTTTGTTTGCTTGCTCTTTGAGACAGGGTCTCCCTGTAGCCCCAGCTGGCCTGGAATTCACTATGCAGACCAGGCTGGCCTTGATTTTGCAGAGGTCTGCCTGCCTCTGCCTCCTAAGTGCTGGGACTAAAAGCCAACGCCACCACACTGGGCCCCACAAATTAGGTTTTGAGCCATAAAACTCAGTTTGACTGAATTTCTTCCTTTCTAGACATAATCCTGAGAACATAGACCATAGCCATGGAAAGCCTAGGCAACGAGGAAGTGATGTCATTAGATGGCAGGGCAAGGAGTGAAGACTGAAAGTTCTAGCCAAGCCACTGGACTAAACTAGAAACTGGAGCTCTGGATTGCTTTTCTAGAGAAGGGTGGATCTGTTTTAAAAGCCCCAGGAACTCTGAGAGCTATTCAGAGAGTGCACTACCAATGTTTAAACTGTAAGGGCCCAAGCCTGGTGCTGTAATCCCAGCACTTGGGAAGTGGTCGTGAGTTTGAGGCCAGCCTGGGGTGCTGCGTTGTGAGACCCTGTTTCAAATCAAAACAAAACAAAACACCTTGATTGAATTATAATACCTAAGCTACCATAAAAAGAGAAAAGACCAAGGACAGCTATTTTTTTTTTAAATTACAGAGCTATTTAAAAATAATTTGAGGCGCTAGGCATGGTGGCACACACCTTTAATCCCAGCACTCGAGAGGCTCAGGCAGGTAGATCTTTGTGAGTTCAAGGCCAGCCTGGTCTACATAGTAAGTTCCAGGACAGCTGGGGCTACAGGGAGACCCTGTCTCAAAAAGACAAAATATTATTATTATTATTTGAGGCTAGAGCCAGGCTTGGTGGTACACACCTTTGTTCCCAGCTCTCGGGAGGCAAAGGCAGGAGGATCTCTGTGAAATCCAGGCCAGCCATGGTCTACATAGTGAGTTCCACGTCTGCTGGGGCTACAGGGAGACCCTGACTCAAAAACACCAATAATAATAATAATAATAATAATAATAATAATAATAATAATAATATTTGGAGGCTAACATACAGAGAAATTGCTTTACTGTGACATTGCCATACATAAATATTGTTATTATTCTTTGTATTTGCCCCCTGCCCTTCCCTGTGTCCCTTCTCAGCCTCTGGTGAATGCCCTTCCTCCTCCCAAATGCTGCTCAGTTCTGCTTTCACGACACATGGATTAGATCTCCCTTTCTTCCCCCTTTAGAACTCTTTCCCTTTCACAGTGCCCTTCCTACTGTTCATGTCCCATTCACAGTGCATGCGCAGAGAAATTTAAATCTAGATTCCACATATGAAAGGAAACATGTTGTCCTTCTGGGTCTGACTCATTTCACCAGCTAAAGATCTCCAGCTCTATCCATTTTCCTGTGTCATCATTCCATTCTATTTTAAAGCTGAATAAAATGCCACTGTGTATATTCACCCATATTTTCTTTCTGTGCTCATCTGCTGATGGACACATATGCTGATTCCATTTCTTAACTATTGTGAAGAGAGCAGCACTGAATATGGATCTACACGGATTTATGTGGCATTCTGACTTAGAATTCTTGAGGTATGGCTGGATTATATACATGGTAGCTTTATTTTTAGTGTTTTTAGGGACCTCCACGTTGATTTTCACAGTGGCTCTACCAATTTATATTTCCACTAGGAGTAAATAAGGACTCTTCTTTCTGTACATCTTGGTCAACATTTTTTGTCATTTCTTTTCTTGATGATGGCCCTTCCAACTGGGGTGACACGGAAACTCAGCGGAATTTTAATTTCCTCTTCCTAATGGTCAGGGATATTTAACACATCTTCAAATATTTATTGGCCATTTGTATTTCTTCCTTTGAGAACTGTCTATTCAATTTAATAACATATTTGCTAGCTGTATATTTTTTCATATTTAACTTTTGGAGTTCTTTCTAGATTTTAAAAATCTCCTGTCAGATATAAAGTTGGGAGGGATTTTCTTCCATTCACCAGGTGATCTCTTCAACCTGGTTGTTCGCTGCTGTATAAAAGTTGTTTAATTTGATACAATCGTACTTGTCAATTCTTGGAATTACTTCCTGTGAAATTAGAGTCTTTTCCAGAAAATCTTTACTTATTCTTGTATCTTGAAGTGTTTTCCCCTAGCAGTCTCAGAGTTTCAGGTATTTGATCCATTTTGAATTGACTTTTTTCTTTTTTCTTTTTCTTTTTTTGGTCTTTTTGAGACAGGGTCTCCCTATAGTGGGGCTGGCCTGGAACCCACTGTGTAGACCAGGCTGGCCTTGAACTCACAGAGATCCACCCACCTCTGCCTCCCAAGTGCTAGGACTAAAAGCACACCACCACACCCGGCAAATTGACATTTTTCTGTAGGGTGAGAGGTATGTAGGGTCCTTCTATATGTGGATACCCAGTTTTTCCAACACTATTTGTTGAAAAGGCTTTTTCTGGTTTAAATTTTTTCACCGTTATCAAATATTGGGTATTAAAATTACAAAGCTATTTGTCTGGCAGTGGCTTCCGTGTCAGCTAATAAAATATTCAAACCTAGTTGGTCATAAGAATGTCCTAGAATTTGCATGACTTTAGAGCATATTAGAAAAGGGACTTTATTTACTTATATTTGTGATTTTATATGCTTATGATTTACAATATGATAAAAATTTTAATCTTTAGGGTATACGCACATGGTTCAAAAGTAATATAATAATGTATAGATTAGCAGTGCTGGGGTATAGCTCAGTGGTAGAGTATTTATCTAGCATGTACCAAAGCTCTACATTCTATCCCAAGCACCA